ATTGTTTTGAATTCTATGAATTTCTTTTCTCTTATCCCCATTCCTCCTTCCCAAAAAAATGTAATGTTGCTCAAAAAATAAAAGAAAAAAAGCAAGAGTTTCTTTTTAAAATAATTTAAATTATAAAATAAAAATCATTAAATGAAAAATCATCGAACTATCAAAAGTTTACTTTTATTTAATAATTTATATTATACAATTTAAATTACACAATATTTTTTTTTACAAAAACAAATGCTTATTAATGGAGAATTATGAATAAAAAAACCAATAATAGGTTTTGATATAAACAACGGAAGTGAACAATCTTCTTTTTCATTTTCGTAGCGCACACTTAGTGTCTCACTATTTAAATACTGGGACACCCTCTGCTTTTTCTTAATGTTGTTAACCTTTTTTCCTTTTTCCCTTTAATAAATTCTATAAACATGTGACACACAACGTAGTTAGGAAAGACAAGAATTATGAGACAGAATTTGGGTCCAGGAAGGATGGCTCTAACCAATTGTGTTTAAAGCTAATATAAAATGAATACTACAATTGGCCAAGGAAAAAGCCATGAAAACTATAAAGATGGAAACATAATAAGTTATTACCCTCATGCAGATACAAAATTTTTGAGAAAAAATAATATCAAATTGCATTGATAATAACCGAAACTTGGTAACTAGGGGGAGAGCTGTCTGTCATTTCTCTGAATTTTACCAGTTAGTTAGTTTCATGGTGATGCTGTACCTGATGATCTAGCACGCAATCTTCAAAATGAAGGACAACTATTTCTTGAAGAGACTTGAAAGAGAAGGCCGGTCGTCTTTCTTACCAACCACTACTTCCTTTGGTTTTTCAGTCTTCCTCCTGTTGAATGTTTTGTGCTTCTCAGCTCCACCTTGGCGCCTGCTTCGAGTTTTCTTCTTAGTTGATGAGGGAGAACTTAACTTTTCCAATTTCTTTGCCTCCACAGCATTTGATGAATAACTTTCTATCTCTTCCAATTGGTTTCCCTTAAGTGCATTAATCTCTTCAGACAAACGGCAAATCTGGACTGCCTTGCTGTGCATCTTAGCAATGTCCTGGAATTTTTCTTTGTCGACCACCTCTTGTTTCTTTGGCTTCTTCACCATCTGTTGCTCTGGTTCAGCTAGGGATCGACTGCGTTTTTTACCCTTCTTGACCTGAAGTTGATCTTTTAACAGACTCTCAGTGGCCTCTGGGTACACATCATTGGCAGTCCTCGTCTCTCCTTCAACAAGCCCACCAATCAATGTTTCCAGAACAATTTTGCCTAGCACAAATCTTGTCTCGAATGGATTTCCCTTCCCAAGCAAGCTGTAATTGATGGTGAGACTCTCTCTTTCATCCTCATAAGATTGAATATCACATGTTAGTGCGTGGAATATTTGAGCAACATGGTTACCTATTCTTTTGGGTATAAATACCTGAAAGAAAACATGGTTTTAATGAAAAAAAAATCCATATCTAGATTGACATGTGAATTGATAAGCAATTAGAGATATTGAAATAAATTCACTTACCAAACCGGAGCATGGGGAGAAAGGGTATCTGGACATTAATTCAAACAGACGTTCTTTCTCAGTTAAGGCACATATAGAATCTTGTGCCAAAGATGCTAGCTGAGCAACTTCTTTGGCAATGTCTTCATCAGATTTTGTTACAGAAAACCCTGAAATTTCAGGAACAAATGTAACTTGCATATTTGCATGCTCTCTAGCAAATTTAAGACCTTCCTCCCACTTTCCATGAAACAAGACAGAAGCAAAAGTCCAAACTACAAGAGCATCTTGAGGGTTTTTTACCAATGCAAGGTGAAACACCAACAATCCAACCCTGTGATATCCAAAAACACAATAAATTGTCTAAATGTTGTGAAGATGAACATGGATGAGAAATACTTAATTGTAAATCCACAATGTAGATAGATGATAGACGAAGTACCAGTCTTAACCAGACAATGATTCAAGCCAGCCTACCTATCAATAATAATATATATAAAAAAAAAAAAAAAAACTAAAGTACAAGCGATTCAAGTCATCTTGTTCTAATTGGTTTCTTCATGTAAGCCACTCAACCTAGGTTTCAAACAAGAAATTGAAATTAATCTTCGAGGGGAAAAAAACATTCAAAAGCAGGACAGGAAGCATCTTGAACTGAAGTTCAAATAAAAATTGAGTGAAGACTGCTCCAACAGGACCACTACCAGGAATTATGCAATACAAAGAACAGAATGCATTTAGATTCGAGCAAAATAACAAACAGTGGACAATATTAGCTGCAAATATTAAGTTCAGTACTAGACAAATCTACATTTCACTGAACTTTACTGGCCCTAAAAGTTTAAAGGCCACACAACTCCTTTCACCATTGGATCAAAAGCAAGAAGGCCTAATTGATAAATACTAATCCCCCACTACTCAGCCTCCCTTATGCCCCCCCACCCCAAACAAATTCTGGCGCTTGTACTCAAAACCAATGCTTCCTTACCAAGAACTTTCCACCATTAGGAGCCAACATTGCTATATATCATTGTAAATATTGACTGAATTAAATGATGCTACGAGGGCTTACCCATTTTGCTTCTTGCAGAAGGGTGAACTTTCCTGTATAAAAAGGTATCTGACCCTTTTGAAAGGAATAAAAGGGCACACAATCTAAGTTATCATCCTTTTTTTTTTTTTTTTT